GCCTCAAAGATTGTAGCAGCCAAAGGACACTAACAGAAATCCTCCTTTCTTCTCTGTTGTATTCTTTTATTTATTTTTTAAATTAATAACTTCTACTTATTATGATACACAAATTAAAGGAAACACAGGCCACATAATGCAAGATGTTTGCAATTTGTTATCCAATAAGGATTTGTATACAGAATATATAAAGGACATCAAGATATAAATAAGAGAATATAAAGGATTAAATTTTTAAAAAATGGACAAAAAAACTCTTGAATAGGAGCTTCATAAAATAGGAAAAACAAGGTTATTAGGACAATGAAACATCAGGGAAATGCAATTTAACAACACAGTGATGTATCGCTTGCTGAAAACGAACATGCTGAGGAAGAAAAGGACCAACTGGAATCCTCAATTGGTACATTTACCTTGGAAAACTGACAGCACCCCTATACCTAAGTACCTTTGAGCCTGAGATTCATTCTGTATGATAAACCAGTGAAAATGAATGCACATGTCTGCCAAAAGATGTGTACAATAATAACAACTCTGTCCAATAAAGGAAAAAACCGTCAAGAGTTGAATGGAAATAAAAGGTGTTGTATTCATGTAATCAATAGACAAAACCATTCTGTTACATTTTATATTATTGATAGTTCTCACAAATATACATTTTATTGAAAGACTAGAAAGATTACATTTATAAAATTCTACTTATATGTTGTTCAACACTGGGAATAATTAATCTGTGTTATGGTAGAGGTCAGATTACAAGTTACCTTTGCAGATGGTGACAGAGGGCAGAAAATATCTTTGGGGTGTTGGATAGATTTTGTATCTTGTTTGTATCTTTGTTTATGGTACATGGTGTTTCATCTGCAAAAATTCATCAAGATATAGACTTATGTCATATGCACTTCACTGCATATAAACTGAGTGTTAATGATAATGAGAAAACAGAGAGAAAAAATAAAAAGTAAGTTAGTGTATCCTTCTAGGTAACCAACTCTGATGCTTAGGGCTATTAACCAATATTGTAGTTGTCCTCTGTTTAGGGACCTCTCCAAACTTTTGCAGTTAGGAATGGGCATGTGATTTTAAGCATCTAATAAAACAAAATGCAAATGAAAGTGATAGAAGTTACTTTTAAGATATTCTTTCATCTTCTTTTTGGCAGGGGGGTATCAAGTATTGAACTCAGGGGCACTCAACCACTGAGCCATATCCTCAGCCCTATTTTATATTTTATTTAGAGACAAGGTCTCACTGAGTTGCTTAGCGCCTCACCATTGCTGAGGCTGGCTTTGAACTTGCTATCCTTCTGTCTCAGCCTCAGGAGACACTGGGATTACAGGCATGCACCACTGCACCCAGCTATATTCTTTCTTTTCTATTGGATGTTTGTTTGGGAGAATTTACCAAAAAAGTCATCTGTTCCTGAGCTTTTCTCTGTTGGGAAGTTAGACAATTCCATCTCTTTATGTGTTATAGGTCTATTCAGATTTTTTTTCTGCAATTGGTTTTGGTACTATGTGCATTTGCAGGAGTTTATATTTCATTTGTGACATCCAATGCATTGGTGTACAGTTATTTACAGCATTCTATTATAATTTTTCTTATAAAGACATTTTAACAATGGCAAAACTGAATAAAAACAGTTTACTTGTCAGAGGTACTGGGTTGGAGCAATCGTCAAAGAGAAGCTCAGATAAATTGATCCAGGTGATGGTAGTAGTGGTTATAGGACCATACATTTGACAAAATTCTTAGAATTATACACTTCAGTATACCATACCTGAAGGTACTACTGTACATAAATTATGCATTCATTCAAAAACAAGTAACTATGATGCAAAAGCCTGTATGTACATTAAAACTAACCAGCTTGTTCCCCACAGACATATTAATTGCTCCTTCCCTAGGAAAGTCATATCAGAAGCTTCAGGTACTCTCATGGGACAATCTCCAGAGGTCTCAAGTTTCTATAAGTCTCTTCAGATCTCCATGTATTTACCTTGAAATCCCAACATGACTCAAAATTACCTGTTTCAGAAGGAACACTCTACGTACCATGTTCATTGGGCATCATTTATTCATTGGCGTGACAATTATTGTTAGTGCAAACAGGTCTTCTTCTGACCTCGGACTTCCTGTGAGTCTTCAATCACAGTTAAACATGTAAAACTCATGTAGGTAAGACTTTTAAATGATAACTTCTTCATGAGATGTTTTGTGGATCTTTATTGATTTACTTATTTTCAGATACAGTTATGTGAATTATTGGAGATATGTAATCTTATTATGCAAATATAGAAGTAATAAATGAATCTTTTAAGGAAACAGAATTAGTTGGAGATTCAGAACTTGGTTCATATTCTTATTCTTTCCTCTGTTTTTCCTTGTGTTGGGAACTTGGAACCTTTCAAATGGAACCTTAGACAGAGCTCTGTTAATGGTACTTATGCCGTATTCCAGGGCTGGTGGAAATTTCAGTCTCCTTGTTCCGCGTTGACTGTTCTTTCTTTTCCAGAATATAAACATTTAAATGAGGATAAAATTCATACAAAATTTGAGCAGCATCTATACCTAAGATTTAATATGAGAGATAAATAGATGGTTTCAATGTTTCCAAAAAACTGAGGTGGTGCACATGTCAGAAACTTCCATGAAAGGAATCTCAGCAGCTCCGGAGGCTGAGGCAAGAGGATCCCAAGTTCAAAACCAGCCTCAGAAACTTAGTGAGGCCTCAAACAACTTAACAAGATCTTGTCTCAAAATAAAATATATGTTTTTTTAAAAGACTGGGATGAGGCTTTTTTTGGACCCAAGTGCCCCTGGGTTCAATCCTTGGTAAAAAAAAAAAAAAAAAATTCCTTGAGAGGGAACTTAGAGATTCTCATGAAAAATCAGTTATATTTCTTATATACATGACAATAGTGGATTCTTCAAAAATGTGAACCAAACTTAAAACATGACATTCTGCTTGATTAGGTAGTAATTTCATATTATTTATATACATTTTCTTCTCACTTCTCAGAAAGTGAATTACCCTGCTTTAAACTACACAAGGATTCTAAATAAATTACTAAGCTCTGAGCTGCACGTAAGTTTTCCCACATATTCTCAATTTCCCCATGTGCACGCGTGCATGCACAAACACACTTTTATATGCAAAGTTCTGATCACTGGTTGATGAACACAATGTAAGCTAAAAGTGCTGTGACTGCTGAGGGTCAGAAGAATGTGTTCAGGGGCTGACTTCAAATTGCCAGAGGCTTAGAAAAAGATGCAGGAAGAATAGTTAGTATTGGATGGATATCCTTCCCCAAGCTACAGTTCCAACAAAGAAATTCAAAATACTATTACACAAGAACAGATTCAAATCAAACACTTCACAGTGTGGAACTTGCCACCAAAACAGAAGTGACAGCCCATAAAACTTGAAGCTTCCAGTGCTTGTCTCTGTGATTTGGCTATGGAGTGACAGTAATGAATGAAAGAATGAGTTTAAGGAAAAAGAATTGTTACTCAAACTAAAATATGGAGTTCAAGAAAGAAACTTTAAAAGGCATTGGCTCACGTGGACTATCAAGAGCTGTAATCATATGCTTGGAGTAAGGACTGATTGAGAAACACAGAAGGTACAGAAAATCTCAGTGGCCTCATAGGGGGAGAAAGGCAAACTGGGCAGAAAAGTTCAAAGACTTTCAACTCACCACAATAAAAGACCTGCATGTCAGCATGCTGGTCGATAAAACCAAAGTAAAGACAAGTACCCCGTCCAGATATCTTAAGTGTTAGTTTTTATGAATTATTTAATTTAATTTAATTCTTACTTATTTAATTCTTATGGTAATAACTGCAAGTCTTATTACTGTCTTCATTCTGCAGTTGGAAATATGACACTCAGGGGAGTTACCTTAGGATGAATGCCTGGTAGGGGGCATAAGGCAGCATCTCTTCCAAGCACCTGAGCTCCATGTCTGCCAATCCTGTTGATATGCCTTCTCTCAGAACTGTCCCTGCAGGGGGAGCATACTCCTACCACACCAGTCACCCCTCCACATTACTGTGTATGGAGATTTGCTGGCATGAATCAAGAATTAAAATCATCTTCAACTTATTCAAATTTCACACTGTCAGCTGGTGTAGGTGTTCTGCTGATAACAGGCTTTAGATTGTGTAGATTCTGGGGCATCTGTTAAATGCATTCGAAGCTTGTCAATTCATTTATGACTCTTTTTTAGCTGAGTGGGTCATTTCATTCATTCTTTGTTGGCTTATTACTTTTCTTCTGATAAAACGAAAACATAGTGAAGAAGGTGAAATTTTCACCCACTCAATCATTTGATTCACAGTTATACCCTAAACAGTTTTGGACAAAGGAGCCAAGGAAAAATTGTAAAGTAAATCAACTTCAATTTGTTTGAAATCCAGTTTAAAAAATTAGATTTAGGAACTACTTGACATGGGTTAAAGTTGGGATGAGTCCAGGATAGAGATTGACAAATAGTACTTGTATCAATAGAATAGATTTCTCATGCTTAATAATTTAAAGGAGTATAACAACTCAATAAAATCATAACACTGCTGAGAGGAGACAGGAAATGTGCATCTAGAGTGACAGCAGATGACAGTTCTGGGCAGATGAGCTGCATGGAAGCATCAGCTTTACCTAAGCTCAGAAATGAATTCACAGATAGGTACATACAGATATTTTGATTAAATTATTAAATAGTCTACACCTTGGTTAAGAATTATAGAAAATTTTAAAATTGGGCAGATAATGCATAAAGAGTCTTTGAATTCACAGAATTCAACCCTGTATGTAATTAACTGCAACACATTTGGTTTGTAAGATGTGATTTTTCAGGAGAATCCCAAATTATAGGTATTGGTATAAAGAAATAACCCATTTTCCATGCATATTTTTTATAGCAATTCAATGTCTTCATTATTCTGTACTTCTACCCCTGCTTGACTATAGAACATCAAGAGATTCTCAGACAACATTGATGGAGAACAGGACAGAAGTGACCCACTTCATCCTGCTGGGACTGACCAAGGACCCAGGTCTGCAGCTTCCCCTCTTTGTGACCTTCCTCCTCATCTACACCATCATTCTGGTTGGGAACCTGGGGATGATCCTGTTGATTCTCCTGGACTCCCGTCTACACACTCCCATGTACTTTTTCCTGGGTAACCTCTCTCTGGTGGACTTGTGCTACTCTTCAGCTGCCATTCCCACAGTCATGGGTGGGCTCCTTCCTGGAGATGAGGTCATCACCTACAATGCTTGTGCTGCTCAGATGTTCTTTATTACAGGTTTTGTTACTGTGGAAAATTACCTTCTGTCCTCAATGGCCTATGATCGCTATGCAGCAGTGTGCAAGCCTCTGCACTACACCACCACCATGACAACTAGTGTGTGTATATGTCTCATCATAGGCTCCTATGTCTCTGGTTTGTTGATTGCCTCCTTCTACATTGGGGATACCTTCAGTCTCACCTTCTGCAAGTCCAATGTGGTCCATCATTTTTTCTGTGATATTCCAGCAGTCATGGTTCTCTCTTGCTCTGATAGACACATGAATGAGCTTGTTCTTCTTCCTGTCTGTGCCTTCAATGTGGTTTTTGCTCTTATTGTTATCTCAATATCCTACATATTCATTTTTACCACAATTGGAAAGATGCGCTCCAGTGCAGGCCATCAGAAGGCTATATCCACCTGTGCCTCCCACTTCACTGCAGTCTCCATTTTCTATGGGACCACCATCTTCATGTACTTGCAACCTCTCTCTAGTCACTCCATGGACAGTGACAAAATTGCATCTGTGTTCTACACTATGGTCATCCCCATGCTGAACCCCGTGGTCTATAGCCTGAGGAACAAGGAGGTCATGAATGCATTCTCAAAGATTGTTTTAGTGGCAAAATAATCTTTAGAGTTTAGATTAAATTTGTTGGGGTGCATAATACTTGTTCATTCCTTTCATAGTCCATGTTTTGTCACATTTTAAGACCCACCTGACTTCAAGTTCTTTTACTTCTGCAAAAGACTGTGATCTAGGAAAAAGGAAACAACAGATTCAGAACCATAATGCCTCAATGAGAATATATCTGATACATTGGTGTTTTCTTATCAAAAGCTTTATTAAAGGTATGGATACAATCAATAATTTCCCATGCATTTTTTCTACATCAATGCAAATATATGTAAAATAATTGCAGAAAATCTCACAAGGAAAAGAAATGGAGACTGGTGTATCGTGACCATATTTGCACATGGGTGTGGCTAATTTGCCAGAATTAAATGTCATGTGGATATTTTTGGTGTTGAATTTAATGTGTTCTTTGAGTGGATAAAAGGATACACAAATAGGGAACCATTTTACTGTGCAGCTGAGAGGATATTTCTGAAGCAGTATAGTTTGAAAAGAAGTAAAGAAGATCTGTTCAATCAGTGTGAATGGCCATTGTACAATTCAGTAAGGACTCACCTGAACAGAACACAAAGGGGAGGAAGAACAGTCATCCCCTCTCTCATTACTGAACATCCATGTTCTTTCTTAGACAGCATAGCTAGTACTTTTCAAGCCCTCATTCTCCAAGACTTACACAGTTACCCCTCTACCCACCTCTCTCAGGCCTTTCTACTCACTGAGTTATAACACCAGCCTTCCTGATTCTCAATTTACAGATAGCCAAGCTGTTCCTCCTTCACCTCCATAATCACGATTCCATATCCCATGCCATAACGAATCTCTTATATGTGCTGTGTATTCAATTGATTGTTTCCCCTGACTAGTGCACTAGTACTTAGTAATCATAATTTAATATTTGATTTCTGTTTGAATATAAATGCATATATAATATTTTTATCTTTTCCCACTATTGTAAGAGTCCCAATTTGAGGAAAAAAATGAAACTCATTAAATGAAAGTATGTACTTTTACCTTGCATATTTTAACAATAGATGAATAAATCTGGAATCTCATGTGAATTAATATGTCTTTTTGAGTCATTTGATATAAACAACAGATTTCTATTTTAATTTTCAAAGGGTATGTAGCCAGAGCACCAGAGATATTGAGGAAAAGTAACAACAGTTTTGATGTATTTATATATCATTCAAATTTTTCAGGTTGTTGAAAATTTATACTGAGAAAAAAATAACGTTGGACATTTTTGAAATGCTTTGAACTTAATTCTGACCATTCCTTTTTACATTAGTTGGGTTCTGTTCTCTCTTGCCGCTCCCTAGATTTCCACCCCACTTCTCTGATTTTCTTGCTATTGCTTCACAACTTTATCCATGCTCTGGCCCCAGGGCCTTGGCAATAGCCATTCCCTGTGTGGAATGTTTTGTTTCCATTCAAGCCATTGCAGATATGTTACTTGTCATGGAGTCCTTCCCTGACCACCTTTATAAATAGTCCCTCTGCACTCCCCACTTACACACTGCACTCTCCTATGTTGTTCTTCACAGTTCACAGTTCTTATCACCCCTTTCCAAAGACATAGTCACTTACTTGTTGTTCATTTATTTTTCTCATCTAGAATACGAATTCCCAAGAACAATGATTTTATCTTTTTTTTCACAACATACTCATAAGTACCTGAAGAGATGTCTGTTTCATAGTAGATTCTCAAAAATATTTAGTAAACAAAGGAACAGATTAATTAAACATTGAGTACTAATGCACCAATAAGTTGACTTTTGAGGCAAAAATAACAATTCCTCCTGCAAATAATTAAGAACTATTACTCATCCTGTTTAGCTGTAATGGTGCAGGAAGATATAATCAGAAGATTAATTACTTTTGTGAACGTGAACCATATTGTATAATACCTTGTAAATAAACAGTATTAATATTTAACTCATGGAGCTTCAATATGTTGTAAAGATTGTGCTATAAATTCCATAAGTGTCATGTACTTTTCTTCTTGAAAACCCCTTGAGGATGACATGATATCATATATCCTCTGGAATAAAAGAGAAGCTAAAATTTGAAGACCACCTACTCCTTATAGGAATTTGAGGCAAAGCAAACTAGATACACAGGGCATATATATAATTATGACATCCATCTACACTAAAAGAGATAATGTTGGGAAACACGATTATCCACAGGCCTGTGTTCAAAAGTGGAACTTTGGAACTTCTGTAGCACCAGACAGAGACCTGAACACAGGCAGGAGGTATTCAATTTTGGTCTACAGCAGTGCCCACTGTGGAATGTGCCACAGTGTGTACCCAAGACTAGCAGCTGTGTTCTTCAGGCACAACCTGACAACAGTTAACCTGAATGGGCAAGGGACTTCCTTCACCAATCCAACCCCTACCACAGGAAGACAAGTGTGAAACAAGGCACATTTATTTTGGGGTGGGTCAGCAGAGTAAGCTCAAGACTTTTCATTGGTATTAATTGGTGGCTGGCAAAAACTAAGACTAGGCAGATGCAAAAGACAAAACTCTAGACTACCATTGGGAAAAGCTTGGGGCGTAGCACAAGTCACCACAGGATGGTGACTCTAGAAAAAGAATGGAGGCTTACCTTTTCCCTAGAGAGAGGCTTATATGGATGATCTGTGCCTGCTACACACTCCCCCGGATCATCTGAACAACACATCAAATGTGGCATAGGACAAACCTGGGCTTAGATTGCCCTCTAGTACTAAAACAGTAGCAACCTATCAACAGCAGACTCCTGGAATTTTGAACCTGGGTAACTAAGTGCTAAAACACTTAGTGGAAGTGGTATAGATGCCACAAAAATAAGCAGCCTTCTTAACAATTCTGGGAAGACAAGTGCAATCAATTTCAGATTGGATAGACTGGATTAAATACACAACTCAATAATGATCATATGATAAAGCATACCAACAAGTATCAAGAGGTCTTAAGAAACTATGTTCTCATGTAACACTTCAAGTAAGATGGCAGGAACTGGCCAGATAGTAAGAAGTATGGGATGACTCTTAGAGAATTTGAAAGAGATGTTTTATGGAAACTCAATGAGCTTGAGAAAAACACAGAGAAGCGATTCAATACTCTAAAAGTTTAAGCAAGAGATGGAAGCTATTTAAAAAATTAAAGAGAAATCCTGGGTGTGAAAAATATAAGCAGGTAAATTAAAAGCACAACAGAAGGCATAAAAGCAGACAGATCAAACAGAAGAAAGAATTTGTGATCTTGGCAAAAGGAAGCTTGAAAATGCACATTCAGAAGAGTAAAAGGAAAACAGAATGAAGACGAATACAGAAAACTTGAGGGAAGATAGTAATAGTATTAAAAGAATGAGATTCAGTTACTGGGTCAAGTGTCATAGTCACTGGATACTAGCCAGTTTAGATCAACTGGATCCATCCCAAGATACCTCATAGTCAAGCTGGCTAAGGAAAAAGATCAAGATTATCAAGGCCACAAGAGGAAAACAAACAAACAAAACAAAACACAAACAGAACAAAACACGTAATACATAAGGGTGTCACAATTGGCCAGATGGTCACACTTCTCAGCAGAAATCTTCCAGGCCACAGGAGAGTGGCAAGAGGTTTTCACAGGGCTAAAGGGGGAAAAAAAAACCCAAAACAAAAAGCTGCCAACCAGGAATCCAGAGGAGATCTTTTTTTTAGAAATGAAGAACAGATCAAGGCATTTCCAGACAAAGAAAAACCAAGAGAAGTGATCTTCAGTAGGCCTGTCCTACAAGAAGTGCTAAAGGAAAGTTTTCAAACAGAGAGAGACAGTCAACATGGGAGCTATTAAACTAACAGGTAAGAGTCATTCTCAGACACATTCAAAGTGCTCTGATACTGTAAGCGTGATGCATAAATCATTCATATCTTTGATGAAAGGCTCAAAACCAAAAGTTTAAATTTAATTAACTAAATGAATTTTAAGAGCTAGGAAATATAGAAAGATGTAGAAAGGGATATGAAAAATTCAACATAGCAGGGAATGAATGGAGTGCAAATGGAGAGTTTTCTTATCAGTCTATTTTCACTATTTTATTTCTTTTCTTAGATTTATAATAATTTTAAGTACTACCTTTGCAAAAACCTGTTACAGTAAAAAAAAGGGAAATTCACTTGTGTGTGTTTTGATAAGAAGAAAACAAAAACAGTCAACCCCAAAACAATAATCAGTGAATCAAAACACACTACCATAGGAAATCTCCTCATCACAAGGAGAATATAAGAAAGTAAAATAAGAAAAGGAGTTATAATGAAACCAGAAAACAACTCACCAAATGGTGGTAGTATGACCTTACCTGTCAATGATTATGTTGAATTGTAAATGAATTAAATTTTCCAGTAAAAAAAAAAAAAAGACACTTGAATGAGTGGATAATAAAACAAGACCCAACTATGTATTTCTTATAAGAAATTTACTTCCCCTCTAAGGATATAGATAGATAAAAAGTGAACTATTGGAATAAAATATTCCATGCAAACAGAATTTGAAAGAAAGCAGAAGACATATCTGATAATACAGATTTAAATTTTTTTTAAAGTAAAAAAGAAGAAACAGAAGTTCTCTATATATTGATAAAAATATTGATTTACAAAAGGAAGTAATAATCCTAAATATTTATGCACATTATATTGAAGTATCAAATGTTTAAATCAAACAGTATTTAATATAAAGAGAGAGATGCTCGCTATAATAGTAATACTTGTCGGCTCTCACACTCTACTTTGATCAATGGACAAATCATCCAGTAGAAAACCAACCAAGGAACAGCAGAGTCAACTGCATTCAGACCAAAGGGAACAAACAGACATCTACTGACATTTTATGACACAAATGAAATATACACATTCTTCTTATCAGCACATGCAACATTCTTCAAAATAGATTTTGCCATAGACCACAAAATTTCTACAAAAATTTTCAGTTGAAATCTTACTGTTTTTCTTTTCTGACCACAAT